TGTCTATACGGTCTTTGTCTATATGTCTATACGGTCTTTGTCTATATGTCTATACGGTCTTTGTCTATGTCTATACGGTCTATGTCTATGCAATCTATCCTTTATTATACATGGTAATAGATAGAATGACACTATATCACTCAGTCTTTACTGTTGTCTGTAGCTTTTATCGGAATCGTTGTTCAATAATTCAGAATCAAATTGYTCTTATCACTAGACCAGTTTCTCTACCAAGCCTTCTGTAGCAGCTTCATAAAGCTTATTGTAGAGGACCACCGACTTAACAAAGCTATTTACTTGGGCACCTGGATGAAAAAAAAGACAAAAATACCGGTCAGATGCAAAATTATCCAATTCTATTAAGGCCCATTCTTATTCCTATACCTTCATTCCCTCATCATTATTGATTCTTATAGTACCTTGTTTTATTTCYTGTGCGATTGTTTGGGCAGTGATACCGCTGTACAGAGTCGCTATATCAGGCTCAGGCAAAGGGAAAATCAGGATCTGGTTCAACATCATCGTCTCCGTCATAACTGACTGCCACTGCGCGTAACTATGCTGGCATTTGATTTCGAACCTAACACCCAAGCGTCTTCTTTGTCCTTCTCGTTTTGATTTCTGCCTTGACTTTACTGATGCTTGATCTTCGCTCTCAGCAAGCAGTTTTAAATGCACCAGTAACAACGCTTGTACCCATATTTGGTTAACACCAGGTTTGGCTTCAGAGATCCAGTAGCGCACTGACGCTGCAAACAACTGGAAACTCTCTGGTAACGACTTGATAAGTGCTGTGTCTGCCTTCAGGACTACTAACAACAGCTTAAGTCTTTGGCTTGTATCGGCGTCTCTTAAGTTCTTCAAATTTGGCATTTTCCCATAACCAAGTATTTTCGACCCAAAGAAAGGACAAAATTCTCGATCAACCAATTCAGTCTTTTCTCTATCATACTCCATTACTGTAGGCCCTTCCGTCACGATACCATAACAGATACACCTTATTCTGATAGAGCACATGTGAGCGGAGACTTCGCTGGGGTCTTCAACTTGAACCTTTAATATTTGCACTCCTTCAGAAGAGACCAAGGTGCCCATATAACCAACAGGAAAGCGCCCGTCTCGGTAACTGTTGATGACGTAAGCAGGGATTGTGTTCTCGTGCCGAGTCTCCATTTCCGTTCGCGTTTCATTCCRCTCAAAGTATCCTCTCAGTGAATTATCTGAAATTTCATACTCTGACATCGAGAACTCGACCTCTGATTCTAAATCTATATCGGTTTCCTCGCTCTCATCAATATTTCGAGCAGCTAAATCCACAGCTGATTGAAGCGCCTCTGTGGGACTTGAAAAACCGGAAATGAATTTTGCTATAGTCATAATCAACCTCTTAGTTTTAACTATATTCGTTTCATTCTCAGGAAACAGTTCTTTCTTAAAGGGAGCTAACGTCTCCTCTTCAATGTAATCATTTCCCATAAGTGATGCAAAAAGAGGGAGAAAATCCTCATGGATTCTTAAGTGCTTGGCCAGACGTTGTCTCTTGTACAGTCTTGCGGTGATTACCGGTCCACTTGTCACTAGAAACGACAACGGGATGTATCCCGCGGGAAGATTATATATGAAGAAGTCACTGTCGTTGCTTACGATTGGGCAGTTCCAGTGGTTGGCTAGTGCAGCTAGCTCTTGGTCTGCCTCGCTTTAAAGAGTAAGAAACAAAGAAACAAAGAAGTAAATAAGTTGATGGAGCTGATGGATGGATGAATGGGATGGGATGGGATGGATGGGATGGAATGGGATGGGATGTGATGTGATGGATGGGATGGATGGGATGGGATGTGTTGGGATGGGATGGGATGGGATGGGATGGGATGTGGTGGATTGAAACTCCGTTAGACTTTGTCCTTCTTGTTTTCGTTTCGAATTCGCAACTGCCTACGTGTCCGGTACACCCACGCATGCATGCATAAACGCACTAAAAGAGATGTTCTTGTAGTGGAATATATAACATAGCTTGACTAGGCTCAAGAGAGCATAAATAATAGAGGGAAACTCACTCAATAACGCGCGCGCCATGTAAATTCCGGTTGGGCTATTTTTAGAAACAGAATGCAGTTTAAATTTCGCCTTRCCCTACTCCCGTGCGTCATCATATGGGGCGCCGATCCAGTCAATATTCTCATCATTTATTTCATGGCTTATTGTATTTTTATTGTGGTCTTTGAATTTGCTTTTATGGTGATTATATCTAATTTTTGGTGGGACYGAATTTGCTTTTGAAGCACCCGAATTTACTTTTATGGTCATTTGTTCGATTTGACCGAGTGAGAGACTRGTTGTAAAAACAAGATGGAGCAAGTTTAGTAGTAAGTGAACAGTCAGAGTTGATATTTAACATGGAAAGGTGAATGAATATGAGTAGGTCCGAAGAGAGAGAAACGAATGTGGATTGTTCACCTGCAGCAAGATGTTGTACATCCGCGTTTGAAATATTTTCGAAAGCTTTAAAGCTTCCGCCGCACGTCGACATGCTAAAGAAATGGGGGTTTCCTTTTGCTCCGCCATCTTGTTTTGACAACCAGTCTCTCACTCGGTCAAATCGAAGCTCGCAATGCATCATAATTAGCATGTTAAAAATCCAAAGACCAAAAATAAATTCAGATCAGAATAAAAAAAATCCTGCATTAGAATATATTAATTCGATTGCYAAAGATTAAACAAATGACCATAAAAGTAAATTCGGGTGCTTCAAAAGCAAATTCAGTCCCACCAAAAATTAAATAAAATCACCATAAAAGCAAATTCAAAGACCACAATAAAAATACAATAAGCCATGAAATAAATGATGAGAATATTGACTGGATCGGCACCCATATCATCAACTTGCGCGCGCGCTCTTTCCGTTTCGTCTTTAGTGATCAAAACAAGAAGTTTCCCTCTTTTATTCATGATTTGTGCAATGGCAGGCTCAGAAGTAAACTGATTTGCATGGAGACATTCTTACCCATCGCAAACTGCAAATCGTATCTCAATGTTCTTCAGCTCTTGAACAAAGACTAGTTTCGCCATTAAAGGTAAAACGAAGGCATCACAATCCTCCACAGATAGTTCATTGCTCGAAATGATTTCGTTTTCRTTCCTTGAACTGGGGCATAAACATTGCCCATCTATTAGAACGTATGGCGTGACTTTTTTAGATGTTAGAGAGCGAAAGAAATGTCGAATAGTCTTGGCAAATTCGTCATATTCTCCTCCACATCTACAGTCAATCTTACCAGTATTTTGATACAAAGACCACACTAAAGCCAGTCCATCCACAAGGATTAAACTGTCTTTTAACTGGATTTCTGTCCATAATGCATTTGAGTAGTGAACATAATTTGTGAGTCTACGGACTCCCATCCCTTCGAGTTTTATCGTAGCCTCCTTCGAAGAGATCTATGACGCGAAATACAAGTCAAAATACATGTATACCACGAGGGTGATACCACGGCTGTTTCAAATGCCCGAATTAGCAATGTATGCTAGATGTCATGCGCGAAGATTGTTGCGAGTTAATATTAAACTATTTACCATATATGGTAAATAGTTTAATATTAAAGCCGATCAAATTTCGTAGAAGAGATTTAAACTTGGTTGAATCGAGAAGGAGATCGGGCGCAGCGAGTTCGCATGAACTAGAARACCTACATGTACTAGAGGGGTCGGAGATTGAAGTTGAAAAATTGTTCTGTGGGCTAACATGGAGATTTTTTCCCATGCTTCTTAGAACTCCCAGTATCGAGGCGGGATTTTATGGGTAAGCCCGCCAAAATGTGCAATGTTTTTCAAATTTTAATGCCGTGTTTTGCTTCTAGCGAAAGCTTATCTTAGAAAACAAGAACTTYAACCCATAGAAAAGGTCTTTTTGAAAAGATCTGAACAGATTGTACGAATAGATGTGTCATCAATTTCTCAAACTTGTTGCGCCCGGCATACTGTATATACTTGACGTGATATTATCGCTCATTCACAATCATCTTATGTACTAGTACATGTTTATATTTAAATAAAATTCAAGTTAATGATATGATACAYTTAAGAAATAGAAAACAAATCGTATGATATATAAATTGATTTGTTAGTAGAASTTAAAGTTTTTATTTATTTTATTATTTTATGGAGTAGTCARTCGATAAAAATCGATATCGATTTTGCCAATCGATAAATAGATAACAATCGATACCGCTGATTTGATTGATATCGATTGTATCTATCAATCGTTAAAAATCGAACTCACACTAAATTTTTGTATCGATTTTTATCGATTGATKGATTATATACRTACATGTATCGATTTTTTTCGATTTATATGTCTTGAACAATTTCTATCGATGATCGTACGAGGGTCGTGTGGCTACGGATTTACACCACCGGAAATTACTCTTTCGTAACCATAGCTTGGCACAAACTAGGAGTTTGTTATAGTGATCAGTGAACAGACAGCAAAAGTACTTGAATAATTAGCTGCCTGATCTACATATTATTACTTGTGAATTAATAGTTATCTATTGCACTATCATCGATATTTTAGAATACTTTCCATGAAATAAAGCTGATTATATGATTATACTCATTATTGGATCGAATTAAAGCTGTCAAATCTTGATCGATAAAAATCGATTAAATCGATAAAAATCGAACTCACACCAATTTCTTTTATCGATTTTAAACGATTTCCCATAAAAATCGATACAAATCAGCTGATTTCTATCGATTTTTATCGATTGACTACTCCGGGTTTACAAATACATGTTTAACAAACCTGTATTTAATTGAAAGCATGTATTTAAGTACACGTTCCAAACGCCATTACATGTATGATACTTGTATAATACATGTATACTACACGTATTTTTGACCGGTATTTTACCCCAYAGAGATCCTTAGTAGTGTTTGCGTATAGTAGAGGGCCAGTAGAAGCGACTGGGTACGAGTCTGGTAGAGGGTTTTTTACAATAACTTACAAATTTCTCTTACAAAAAAAAACCCGATTCAAAAGTAAAAGTTTCCGCAAAACCGCGTAAATAATCGACCAACATAAACCAAGATCATATACATCTCTAGCCACGCCAAATGTAAATAGATGAGGTAACACTAGATCTTTAGAAGTATGCAGTGGATTGGGCTACCTTTATAATATCCCGCGGGATAGAACCGGGATGTGGGATTTTAAAATCCAAGATGGCGGACGACATTGATATTTTTTAGCTCCAAGTTTGCCATGGATTTTTCTGTCGTCACAACTAACGGACAAGCTCCTACGAAACGCGCATACCATTCTTGTTCAATAATTGGGAATTCTCTGTTTATTTTTGGTGGTATAAGAGATGATAAGACTGTATTAGATGATATGTATCGCTACGATGTCGAGGAAAACTCCTGGAGTCAGGAAAGAACACCTTCGTCTACAAATCCCGAAAAATCTCGAAGTCTTCCAAAAGGAACACTATGTACAGCTCCTTGTGTTAGCCATCATACTGCTACAGTAATAAGAGAGAGATACATTATTATTATAGGTGGTTGGAATGGTAAGAAAAGAACAGCCGAAATCTTTTGTTTTGATACTCACAACACAACATGGCGTCGAATTCTTGAGAGTGGAGACGTCCCAGTCGGATTGAGCTCACATTCTGCGTRCCTTGTATCACCCAAAGATATTCTTATCTTAGGTAGAGAGGGTGGTGTTCGCACCCAAAGACGATTCTCCGGTGCTTTTAACTTGGATACTGAGACAGGACGATACACTGAAGCACCTTTCCATGCTGCTTCAAGATCAGGCCATAACGCTAACCTCATTCACGTAAGAGGGAGCAGAGAATGTTATTTGTTCGTGTTTGGAGGTCGTAAGAGTGGAGGATATGAGCTACTGGGTCGATGGAATCGCACAGAAAAGCCCATACATTGTATTCAACAATCTAGAATAGAGAAACTGCTTGCTAAATGTAAATCTTGTGACGAACCAGATGGTAGACAGCATAGCCAGTCTTTACTGATGGGAGAGAAGTATATGATAGTGTTCGGTGGCGAAAAGTGGAGTGGAGTAAGAGAGAACGTCACGAATGAGGCTTTTATTCTTGACTGTCATAAAATGGTCTGGTATAAAATACCAGTGAGTGACCAAATACCCAAACTTGTTGGCCATACCATGTGTGGTGTCGCAGATAGAATATTGGTGTTTGGTGGTTGCAACCAGAACAGGGCTTGCGACACTTTGTGGCAGGTCAACCTCTTGGATTAGGTTCGATCGTTTAGCGTGTCACGTGACTTCAGCCAAGATGGCCATGGATGTTAGATGGCCAAGGCAAATTGCTCCTAACTTCGAATTCTTTTCTTCAAAAGACTCCTATATTTACTGTTTACGAACATCACCAAGATGGCCGCCATGTCTTCATCACTCGACTCTCTTGGGAATGATTGCAAACCATCTATTGATGGTTTTCAACGATTCCCAAGAGAATTAAATAAAGAAGGACAAGGCGGCCATGTTGGAGGATATAACAATAGAATTCATTGACAACTTTTTATTAAAGTCCTCCAACATGGCCGACGTGAAAACCATCAATAACATAAGTTTGCAGTTTTTATAATTTTTGCAGTAGCATGGAATTATTTTTCAGAGATCCAAGCTAAATTGTATAGTTGTTATACTTGAATTACATAAGTAATGCGTTCCTCTCAAACACGATTTTATTATTCATTTTAAAACACATTTTAAAAAAGCATTGGTTATTTATAAACCCCGTAATATATTACTGATTGTTCTATACTATACACAACATCCTTWAAAATAAATTATAATTATACTATTTCAGATTTTTATATTTCTYGTGTGATATGAAATTCATCTTGGGTACTTGGCCAGGAGCTTAACACTTGTMATGGGTCTCAATGCTGAAGAAATAAATTTAAAAAGCTTAAACAAACTTAAACTATTCTTTTTTTTCCYCCGTAAGGTAGCCGAAAAATCGTGCATTTTGATTGGCTGCGCGAGTGGGCAGTGTCTCTGACCGTTGTTCGGAATCCCGGGATAACGCATTCGTAAAATAAATAAAGAAAAAAGAAAATCGCAAATAGGATGAAAAGTAAATGGAGTGGGATGAAGAGTAAATGGAATGAACAGAAAATGGAGTGAAAAGTAAATGGGATGAAAAGTTAATGGGAAAAAAGTCATTTACCGTCCTAAAGTTGTTCCAGATAAGGAAAACTGTGCCCTCCGCYTCAAAACATACATTCAAGACCTCGGTGCACAGCGACAGGGACARCGAAAAACCGAATTTCAGCGTGCAGCTCGTAGACACAGAGTTCGCATGTTTATGAAAATTGCATAAAGTCACCACAACAGTTTTACCTGGGTCAGCAGCTTTGCTTGCAGACTTGGGATCAGCGTAACGAGTAACAAYTCTCTTGTCGTTTGTCAGTTGTACGTCTTGTTCTAAATCATTAGACCTAAGAGAAAAAGAGAGTTCTCCATAAGACAACAAGAAATCGCAGCCGCAAATGCTCTTTCTGCGTTTTTCTTCGCTGCATATAACAAATGACAGTTAATACCGTTCAAATTCAACGTCATGGCCGCCATCTTGGATGACTTCAAGATTTTATATCCTCCAACATGGCGGGCATGCCTTTCTGGAATTGGTTCTTCCTTGGATGGTTGCACACATGAATACAGATTTTTTTGCTGCTTACCGTACAACGTTTTTCCTTTCGGACATCGCTATTTGCTCTCTGTCGGTGAAGAGCACTGTATGATGAGGTACAGGCATGTCCACATTGGGTAGGATACCACGTCTAGTAGGCACTTGAGGTAAGAACCCATGGTAGACTAGCAAATCATCTACAAATATCTAGAGAAAGCGTCGGTACGAAATACATTGTATTAGACATTCCTAGATTGAGGAGAAAACTGGGTCGAGTTTGCATTGCAGTCTATTGCATGCCAAAATGCAGGAGATTTACAAAAGAACACTAGCTCTCCTACGTGGTAAACCACCTGAGATAAATGTTCCCCAAAACACTCTCACGATGCACTACAATGCGAACTCGACCCTCTCCCCCCCCCCAAAAAAGCAAACTCGACCCTACTCCCCCCCTCCCCCAAAGAATCAAACTCGACCCAGCTTTGTCCTCAATCTCGGAATGGCTAATCTAAAGAATGAACACACGTACCCCAAACTGCTGCACCCCCCTGATCGAGGTCTTGCTGTAGTTCCAAATCTTCACCATGGAGACAGTGACAGGCTCGTCAAAAATCACGTAAATCAAGTTCACCTAATGAACCAACGTGAAAAAGTTCACTTCATTTCTCTATAGGAACATCCTTTCCTCTACTCATAGCATATTGTGCCCGACGTGTCTACCATCATTGGTATCATTCACTCTATCCACCATCACTTACTATACTAACTATATATAAGTATTACGTTACCTGTCCAGGGAAGATTGGAGCGAGCCACATGTGTCTACCATCATTGGTATCATTCACCCCATCTATCAATTTATCAGGGGTTCTGACGTCATCCGTCACACCATCTAGTACATTGACGCTGTGTGGGTAGGCTGTTACGTTATTTGCTGTTAGATGAAGCCTGTAGCCGTTCTCATCGTAGAATTCTATGCCATTCAGGCCAAGGTAGTATGGATCGCCCCAGCTGGACAGCAAATGAAACTGGAAAACGACTGGTCACGAGTCAAGGCTAAATATAATATATAAGCTGTAGGGCGATTAAAGCCTGGTTCATACAAGCAACCCAAATGCAGAAACAATGCTCAGACGTTTTATGGCATGCAGTGCATTTTAAGAAAAGTTTTACATCCAATTTATTACGGATTCCAGGGCGGATCCAGGATTTTATTCAGGGAGGGGTGCTGCGCACAAAGTTAACCCAGGGAGGGGTGCACCCCTTAGGATCAAAGGGAAAAAACAGTATTGGTTATCTTTGAAGTAGGGGCACAAAGTGGAATCAGGGAGGGGTGCGCACCCCCTACACCCCTTCCCTGGATCCGCCCCTGGATTCGAATAAATGGGCCTGGAGTAGTGTTCCAAAAAGGTTACTAGTGAAYGAGACCTCCTCACATCACCCACATTGATAACCAAAGAAATATTCATTATAACCACAGCTAGTATACCAATGGAATGTTGCCGTGTGTTGGATGGGAAACAAAAACGAAATCTATCGAACCAATCACTGTGCACGCGGTTACTGGTTATCCAATCAGAATGCTCGAACACCAAGCTGTCATATTCATGGCAAGAAACGTCCGTGCCTCATATGCGTAACGATACTCGGACTTATAACAAGTTAGACAGTAATAAGTATTTCGGCTTTCTACGAGTAATTAGTAAGAATAAAGATACATCCTGTGGGCATTAAGGTCGGTTCATAATCTGGAACAAGCTTCTTGATATTGACTCTACTTTCAGGCCTGGAAAATGGGAAAATGAAAATGAATGAAAAATGGGATAGAATGGGAAAATGGGATAGAATGGGAAAATGGGATAGAATGGGAAAATGGGATAGAATGGGAAAATGGGATAGAATGGGAAAATNGGGAAAATGGGATAGAATGGGAAAATGGGATAGAATGGGAAAATGGGATAGAATGGGAAAATGGGATAGAATGGGAAAATGGGATAGAATGGGAAGATGGGATAGAATGGGAAAATGTGATAGAATGGGAAAATGGGACAAAAGGACAATGATGGATATTCCTACCTCCTGATTGGTTCATCTGCAGGACCACTAGGCACGTGACCCAATGACGGGGCGGCTGATTTGATGAAGTAGATGTCTTGCGCAAAGTCAAAATGCGTGTTACCAGGACCTACATTAAACAAACCAACACAACGATTATACCTAGGGGGAAAACTCGAGGAGTGCTTTGTGCTATTCTGTACCTTTTCTGAGGAGATATCCTTCGGGAGGAGAAAGTATTCGCCCGTCTAACTTGACATGCACCAATTTCGCCTGAGTGATTAGAATTTTTATATAAATGCATTAATAAAGGTGTAGCAATTTTTTAGAGATAAAGTAGATAAATACACGGCAGTGGACTGTAGCCTCCTAAGCAGACGTTCTTAGGGYTGTTACGACGTCACGCAACATTGCGTGACCGACCCTAAGAACGTCTACGCAGTCGCGGCTAAATGAACTGGTGTGGGTGGGGAAAGAACACGACACGAGATGGGGTTTTTAAAGCCATTCGTTCAATCATTCACACAAAGCTCAAAAGTTCTTATCCCATCAGAACGCGTAGAGCTATTCAAAATTCTGTCAAATATGGCGCATTTTGCTTACTCCTCTAAAGGTATCATCCGCTGACTTGTTGTAGTTCCAGACCCTCATGCCGAGCAGCTGGGTCACGTGACCCATGTTAACAGTAAGGGTGTGGTCCTGGCCTTCTGTGTATGGTATTAACCACATGTGTTCGTCTGATGTTGTTACATTAGTACCATCAATGACTCTATGATAAAACAGGATTTAAATAATAAGACTTTATCGAAGTCACAATACAAGAGGTTACCAATTATCCAATCAGAAGGCAGGAAAAGGCACCGTTACGGAATTGTGTGACTGCTTATCAGAATTGTGTGACTGCTTACTTGTCTAAAGTGCGGTCGTCATCACCATAATTCGGCAAGTCGTTCAAATCTCGTGGATTCGCCTGGTAAAAAATCAAATCAAATCAAAAGAATAAAAAAAAAAAAACAAGATGAAGGGTGGATTCGATCTTGAAGCCATTTAACAAGGTAAAATGGTAAATGTGATTTCATAAAATTAAACACATTCAAATCACTTACATCTAACATGTCGATTGAGAGATGAATTGCCTCCATGGTGGGTCCAAATAACTCCAGCCCTGTTAGGCCTAAGTAGTAGGGATCTCCCCATGTGGACACGAAACAAAGCTCTAAAACTAATAAGAAAATATACTGCGTAAGAGCCACGCCTTGCTTGACTGTACATACGAGATTATCACGACCCTGACCTACAGTCTTCATTTGGTCCCTTTATGATGTAAGCATAAGCACAAGCGCAAAGATCAAAACTGATCTTTCTGAAGCTCAGAGGAAGACTGGTAGTCACGCCTTGCAAAGGAATTCAAGTTAAGGGCAATTAAGGGCACGAATTTTGGGGACAAGATCAAAAAGCTTCGACATCTTGTGTCCAATACATYAGAACCATAATGGTGTGCATCATCATCGGGCGTTATGTTTTCCCTTTTCAGACTGACCACGTGCTATTCCCTAGAGTATCATTTCTTTGTTTAATGGGTTGCAAAAGAGAAGACACAGGAATATGGTTCAAGCCAAAACAAAGAATCTTATTCTCAAGAAAATGACACGTGGTCTGAAATGGGAAAACATCTTACCCAATGTAAAGAGGATAAAGATGCAGGTTTTACTTGTAACTCCAACAAAATATCAATAAAAATGATATAGTTTTACCTTGTCCATACACGAGTCCTTCGTCATCAGCAGACTCTACAGGAAGATCTGTAACAATGGTAGACGACACTATGAATTAGTGTTTCTAATTCACCCACACGAATCAATAAAGTTTATCATACCAATTTCCTGGTTGGTAGACTCTTTGTCAGGATTCATCTTCTGGCGACGTCTTGCACACGTGAATGGACGATCACCATCCTCCTGTGCAATATATTATTGGAATATTATTACGAATAAATTGTGATCTATCTTACTGATTTACTGGGTAAAGTAGATCGTCAGGTCGTGATTTCATCGTAAATCCATCGTTAACTTGACGGAAATAAATCGGACGTTGGTCGTGATTTATTCGTACGTTTGTCGTACATTGTCTTAAACGTAAGTTGAACTAATCTTGAATTCGCAATCTATTCGTAAGTTTGCCGTATATTTACCGTAAGCTTTAGGTACATTAATCGTAAATTGTTCGTAAAATGATCGTAAATCGTTCTTGAAACAATTGTAAGTTGTTCGTGAAACAATTGTAAACTGTTCGTGAAACAATTGTAAACTGTTCGTGAAACAATCGTAAATTGTTCGTGAAACAATCGTAAATTGTTCGTGAAACAATCGTAAATTGTTCGTNTGTTCGTGAAACAATCGTAAATTGTTCGTGAAACAATCGTAAATTGTTCGTGAAACAATCGTAAATTGTTCGTCGTATTTTGTCTTTAATTGATCGCGAACAACTCGTAATCACTAGGTGTACTGACCTCAGAGTCTTCATCTTTATCAGCAGTGGAAGGTCTCTCGTACTCAGTGCTGTACACCAAGCTCTCCTCCTCTTCTGGTATCTCGTAGGTTTGATCGTAGAATGACATGGCATTCAGGATCTCTTCGTCCATTGTGAATAGAATAGTCTGGATAAACAAGGTTAAAGATCAAAGATGCAGAATAAAAGATGATTCTATTTAGGTAACTCAAAAGATATATTTTCATGCCATGAAAGTGCTGCGCCATGCCGTTTCGCAGTCATGCCTAATCTACTCTAATGACTGTCTGCCGATTTTGAAGACGAGCGATTTAGTCTCCGATACTTCCGATTATTACAGTCAAACTAAGGAAACTGTGTACAYCTAAAATAAGCCTGGAATGTTAAACATCGCGTTCTGACCAATCACATGCGTCAGTTAATTAGAAATGAATTCATTCTCGCATGTGATTGGTCAGAACAAGATGTTTAACGTTCCGGACATATTTTAGGTGTTCGGGGTTTTCTTAAGTTTGAATGTAAGCTTGGTGCTATAATTCTCTCTCAGCCAAATTGACCGACGTTTACTAACAGCACTAGAATCTATGGTTGGGCAGTGACCAAGGTGAACAGAGCAACCTACTCGTACTCTACCAAGAAGGATAGTTAATGTAATAACTTACGTCGCCAAATGGTTCATCTTCACCAAGCGTACCACTTGCTCTGAGTGACAAAGAAAAAATGGTCGAGGAACATAAAGAAAACAAACATTACGATGATGATAACGAATTAATTGGAAGGAAAAAAACCATTGTGCACCTTTGTATTTCTCCCTGGAAGATCAGATTGTTGTCCAGAAAAATTTCTACATCCCTAGCGCCTCGGTACGAGTGGATGCGAGATTTATTGTAGTTCTGAAACGACAGTGTAACAATAGCATTAATTCTGTACCGAGTATGACAAAAATGGGCCCCAATGCTGAACTGTGAGGCATGCCAGTTCCGAGTTCAGTGACTAAAATGGCATACCAGTTTCTAGTGATAAAAATGGGACCCAATACTGAGCCTTACGGCATGCCAGTTCCTAGTTGATCAAAATGGGATATAATGCAGAGCCTGCAAGATGCCAGTTCTTATTTCTTACCCAYATTCTAATCATAGCAATCTTGATGTTCTCTGTAAAAGTCAGGTAAATGTAATGATTGCTATCAGGAGTGAATGGAGCCATCCACAAATGCATATCATCCCTGAAAAGACAGAACGACATGTTACCGTTAACAAGCTGATTGATAAAGCTGTTAATAAGATAAGSCTGGTAATAAGATGCATAAGATCGATTCAGTTGATTAATACCAAGTCAGTAGTAGAAATGTTATCTTTATACCTTGTACGAAAGATCCCATCTGTTAGATTACTGACCACACGCGGGTCACTGCCATATTCTGGCAGAATATTTATGTCCAGTGGTTCAGCAGAAATCTAGAAAAATGACACCATAACATAAGTGAAACAGTAATGTTCTAGGAAAATATAATATGTTGTTTGGGTTGCCTGTGTCAGAGTTTACCAGTGGCTAAATGGACCTTATCACGCGAAAGCCATGTTGACTGGAAAAATAGATTTTCCCCATGGAGCCTCGCATTCAAGCGTTTTCAGGACGAGGTTACGCAGGTTTAAGCAAAGGTTTTCATTTTCATGAGAATAAACATGGTGCACGATCAAGGTCCCTTTGTTACAATAATCACATGTCAATGACCTTGCATTGCGTGACCTGTCAGATGGAAACTTTGTCCCTGTCACACCTCTCACAGTCAACACAGGCAACCCATGCAAAGGCAAAGCAAGGCTGCTTAAACAAAACCGGGATGCATTGTGGTCTTGCTTCAGTACAAACACYATACAAGGTGTGATGAACACAAGATGTTTGTACTGAAGCTAGACCGGCTAGACCACATTGCACCATGTTAGCTATCTCAGTCTAAAAGGTCTATGGCTAACCTAGAACACAGGCAACCCATCCAAACATACAGACCTGTTGTATTTCGGCTGGTTTTCCATACTCTGTGAACACCTCAATTCCATTCAGCCCAACATAGTGTCTATCACCCCACGTAGACCTGATATTGATGGTTAGCAGCTTCCCTTTGGGTAGGGTTGGAATCTCTTGACTTGCTTCCAGATAACTGTTAGCACTAGAAAATATACAAACTTAGAAAGTGCGATGGACTGTTGAATTTAATTGTTAAATAGCCTCCTTTCCCCCTCCCCGGTGTTGAGGCCTCAAAAAAAAAAAAAAAAACCCGAGGGGGAGGGGAGGAGTTACTAGTGAAAAACACTGTGTGAAAATGGTTTACAAAGATTGAAAATTCAAACTAAGAAACTAGAATATCGTAAAATTTTGGCCCTTTCCTTCTGAATATCAAAAAGATATTTCAGTGAGTGGTTTTTAATGTATTCAAGATTATTTTAGCAAAGTTCCAGCTCAAATGAAAGAGTTTTAATTTTGRAGCGATTTTCGTCCAAGTGCCCCTTGAGATGGGTAATGGTGGTAGTGTACGTGTGCATGTGTGGAAGGGGAGGGGGGAGGGATATGAGAGGTAAAAAATGAACTGCAATAATTCACCTTCCATCTACATGATGAGTATATTCTTGAGGATCTCGAGGGATTTCTACCCTTGATTCTGGTCTGTTTACTTCACTAGACAAAAACTGATCAAGAGCATCATCTGCAAGAAACCAAAATTGTATAACACACTCACTGCATATTGATAGTTTGCAATAATCGAAAGAGTCAAAAGAGAAAGACATGTTGGTGGTATTAACAATGAAAGYTAAAGAGATATATTTCCGTAAATGGTAACAACATGGCCACAATGACATGACGTGGAAGGTCTYATAGCTGAATATGAAAGTAGTTTGAGTGGCATACCATGACAATCCAGGTCCATATCTTTGGTAATTCGACCCTTGTGGGAGTGTTCAAACATTGATAACACATTCCAGGATTCTTCTAGACTCAGACTTTGATTCCTGATGTAAAAAAGTGATGAAAAAAGAAATGAATGGGAAGGAAAATGGGAAGCCATTTCAGRTACCTTAAAATTGGTTCCTTGTTGSGAACACCCTGGAATCAAAACCTGGCAAACGCTACTCAATTGYGATACCAAGTCCAGGAATTGAAGCCAAGTCCCCGGAAGTAAGAGGTGAGTGGACTACTGCTATGCAATGCACCCTTGACTCCTTAACATTTACCACAGGGGGCCCACAGCCACAATGTCTAAAAAATAAAATCTATCATGCTGTTTTGCATGTTTTAAAAAAGCGAGAACATTTAGATGCTGATTCTAAAACCATTGTCATAAATAGGAAAACAAAGCATAGATTAGGATTTTTTTTACCAATTTATTTATGCAACATACATTCTCCATTGCTGTCTCTTGGACAATGCATCCTGTTTGGATTCTTCAACCTGACTATGTGATAGGCGTGGCTGTTCATGGTCAGAGGGCGTGGTCATCACATGGCCAGTGGGCGWGGCTAAAGGTGATGGTGATTGGTCCCTTTTTCTTGAGTGTCTGGAATCTGATTTTCTTTTTTCCTGGATATAAGAATATTATTAAACTATTATTAATTATCTTTATTATTGATTAATCAATAATTATCGATTAATTAATAATTAATCCCAATCAGAAGGATTTTTGTACCTTTTGGAGAAGTTCAGGCTTTAAAAATGTTGGTAATGTTTCTTCTTGCCTAGAAAAAGTTTTTCAAATAATTGTTKTKTTTTTTTTCATTTTTTCCCTTTGCTTTCAGATCTTACTCTGGCATTTCTAATTAAATGATAAAATTAAAATTACAATAATTCTTGATAAATATGCTTGTACTCATGATGATGATAATAGTAATGACAGTGTTGATGCATTGATTCAATAATGATGACAATGATGGATGATGATGATAATGATGAATAATCATTATGATGATGATGACCATGGATGATGATGATAATATGATAATGATGAATACATTTTGGTGATGATGATAATATTAATAGTGATGATCAATAACAATGATGATTATGATCATGATAATAGTGATGGTGATGATGTTGATGATGATGGTAATGGTGATTGCGATGATGACAATGGTGAAAATGGTGGAGATTGTGATGAYGATGATCAACAATCAAGATGGTGATGATGATAGTGATCACTCACTTGCTAGCAAAGTCATCTGGCCACTGATTAGTCAGGGTGCCATCATGTCTTCCAGGAAGGCTGTTACTTCTTTCTCCTGTACTCCTGGATCTAAATGCACCATCTACTGGTGTAGGATTGTGATCCAGCCTTACTTCAGTGGAACTTAAACTCCTCTTTGGGGATGAAAGGCCACTATCTGTAATAACATATGACCATCTAATGTTCATCCATCATTATTTTTAACCATCATGCTCAAGATGGCAATAGACCCCTTGCAGCACCTCGTTGGAATGCAGCTCAATTTGGTGGACATGAGATGTGTGACTTGTCTAATGTGTGAYCCTTGTTTTGCGTGACATTGGGAATGTAAAAGAATGTGTGATGTGTTTGTACCTTCATTGTCCTGTAGCCAGATGTGGTGTAACTTGTCTAGTGTGTGACCCTTGGATTGTGCGACATTGGGAATGTAATAGAATGTGTGATGCATTTGTACCTTCATTGTCCTGTAGCCAAATGGGACGTGACTTGGACCTTGAGCTGGATCTGTTGAGAGAATGCAACCATGTAAAATGGCAAGTAAACTGAAGCCATCTTGCGACTGATTTACCACAGGAAGCCCAGTCATAATGACTACAGCTTGCAGGCAACAACCACATGCAATAGATCGTTTTCACGTGTCGTCATCAATTTCCGGTCGCCATATTGGTGTACCTCGATAGCGTGACTATGCAAAAACATGTGTGTAACAATCATGCCATGACTAGCGAAGTGCTCTGAATAATATGGAATATGTTGCCGGCGAAAAGGAAAAAAAAGAGTTTAGCGAAAATTTATCTTCAATACCTCTATCTGAGTATGCCAAGAAGCTGGAAACTCGAGTGAAACGGCGTTATCTTGATAAAATTTCGTCGATTGGAATCGACCCCGTGTTAGTTGACAGCAACCTTTTTGAGCCGGACTGTTTACCT